TGGTGGTTCCATCAAGAAAAGTACAAGGTGATCCCAAATAGGGAGTGGAAGAAGACATTTGCATGGCTTCTGTGTACTCTGTTGCTTTGAGACAGGGCCTGCTATGTAGCCCAGGCTGACCTAGAACTCAGAGGAACTGGCCTGGGCTCACAGGTCTGCTTCATGACATCCAGCTTAAAATCTGTTGCTTTTATCTAATAAGTAAATTTTAACAACTAAAAACCTTAAATGCACCAAGAAACAAAAAGAGTCAGTGCCTATTTAGGGTCCTTAGGTGGACCTGTTCCATACAGTATCGCTGGGGCAGGGGGAAACTTTTCTCATTCTGTCCTATGCAGTGTACTGAGGTACAGTCTTGTTGAGGTTCAGGCACCAGCAACTGTGCTAACACACACCAAAACCTGGTTCCTGAGTAATGAGATCTTAGAAAAAAATGCGCCAGGCAGTGGTGGCGCATGCCTTTAATCCCAGCACTTGGGAGGCAGAGGCAGGCAGATTTCTGAGATCGAGGCCAGCCTGGTCTACAGAGTGAGTTCCAGGACAGCCAGGGCTACAAAGAGAAACCCTGTCTCAAAAAAACAACAAAAAAAAGGGGGCTGGAAAGATGGTTCAGTGGTTAAGAGCACTGACTGCTCTTCCAAAGGTCTTGAGTTCAATTCCCAGCAACCACATGGTGGCTCACAACCATCTGTAATGGGGATCTGATGTCCTCTTCTGGTATGTCTGAAGACAGTAACAGTGTATTCACATGCATAAAATAAATAAATCTTAAAAAAAAAAAAAAAAAAACTTTTTTTATTACGTTTGATCTTCTATGTAGTCAGTGTACAGTGGACAGGAGCTGGCTCTATTCTTCACTATGAGGCTATGTGAGTGGAAAGGCGGCTAACTCAGGCTGAAAAGCTTGTGGCACATGCCTTTACCATGAGTCAACCCAGTGGGGGTCTCTCCAAGGCACTATCCTGGTGGTTCCTTCCAACCCCACCGCCCTTTGCTGAGAGCCCAGAGTCACTATCAACAGCCCGCTGCCTAGCAACTATACCAAGGATGGATAGAACCGTAACACACTTCATTTACAACTTCTGCTTTCAGAAAGTAAGTCTGTGTTTCAAAATGTCTAGGTTTGTGTTTCTACTACACGAATGCACATACTGGTAGGAAATAAACACATGAGGGTGGGGGAGGGACACACTGAAGCCCTCGACTACATTTTACCACTGAGACAGCCAAAGCCCCAACACGCTTAGTGCCAGGTGCCTTTGGATTTACTCCACTGTTTTCTCAAGAGCTACTTGGATGCCCAACTGGCATTTTCTTTTAGTTTTTCTAAATCTACTGAAAGCTGAGCCACTGAATTTTTTTAAATACCCCACGCTTGCTCTTTCTGCAAAGTCTTTACACAGTACCACCAAGCCACATCCAGAGCCCTTCACTGGGGGAATTTTAGGCAAGTGCTCTGTGAGCCGTGCCCTCAGCCCTTCACTGGGTGACTCCAGACAGACACGCTACCACTGAGTGCTACCTCTAGCAAGCTCATCTCAGTAAATACCAGTCACACAGCTCCAAACCCTGGCCCCATCCTGACTCCACTCTCCCTTAGCTCATCAGCAAATTCAGCCAGCTCCACCGATTTTCACCACACCAGTGTCACCACATCACAGTGTCACACATCACCCTTACCTGTCTCCCCTACCTACCAAGTATCCGCCCTGTTCAAAATGGTACCTCACTTTGGAGATAATATCCACGTTTTACAAGGCTTGCTGGGTTCTCCATTCCTCCCTTGATAATCTCGATTATTCCACACCTCCCTACCCCACATGCAGGACTCTCAGTCACCGTCCACCTGCCTGCAATCCTTTCTACACATAATCTATGCTTTCTTCTCATCGTCACTGGAATGTCACATTCCTGATGCTGGGCCTGGGCCTGTGGGACGGCTGGGCAAGTAAAAGCACTCGATTCAAAAGCCGGAGGACAGTCAATCTCTAGTCTTTCCCACACAGTGAGAAGAGAAAACAGACCCCAGCAACTTGTCCTCTGCACTCCACTGCGCTGTGGACATGCACAGACCCACACAGACCTTCCGAACTAAAAATAAGATCTCGACTTCCTTCCTTGTCAACCCCCTTTCCCCTGGGCTCACCACTAATTGAGATACTTTGTGACAAGAGAGAGACAACATATGTACAGTATAGATTCTGGGGCTGATGAGATGGCTCAGTGATTGTCAAACTTGACGACCTGCATTCGACTCACAGGATTTACATGGTAGAAGGTGAAAACCAACTCTTGCAAGATGTCCTGTCCTACACCTGTGATATTTGCTGCATGCACACACACAAGTTAATTACAATTTTTAAAATCAATATACAGCCTTCTGTGCTTTGCCCACTATCAAAACTTAAATGGAAGTTGGCATATGGTTCACACATGGAAAGTATAGAGACAGGTGGTCCTTAGTCTCAGGCCAGCTACGTCTACACAGAGAGGCCCAGGTTTAGGCCAGCCAAGGTTGCATAGTGAGAATCTTTCTAAAAAACAAAAACAAGCAAACAAACCCAACTAGGCTGACCTTGGGTATGCAGCTCAGTTGGCACAACATTCACTTAGCATGCATATGGCCCCGAGTTCCATCCTCAGCCACACACACACACACACACACATACACACACCAGCACTCAGCCACACTAGTCACCTTCTCTGCTGAGCTAACCCTACTCCACTGCTCTGCACATACCTTCAAGTCCACCTCCTGCAGTTAGCTCATCTGTGGCCCGCCCCAGGTCACTTCTCATCCATCTTTGTGTCTCTGAGCACCCAGGGCCTTGTACATGCCTAGCAAGTGTTTCCCACCAGACTATATATCCCCAGCGCTGTTTTCTCTTCAGAGTCCTCCTAAATTACCCAGGCAGGTCTCACACTTTTAATCCTCCTGCTGGGAACCGGAGAGGCTGGGATTACAAGCATATCACACACACCATTCCCAGTGTGTAGTATGTTTAGGTTGGCTTCTTGTCCCATTTTTTGGGTGTGTGTGTGTGTGTGTGTGTGTGTGTGTGTGTAGGTACCCACAGAGGCCAGAAGCAGGCTTCAGCTCCTCTGGAGCTGGAGTCACAGCTGATTAGGAGCCACCTGCCTTGGGTCCTAGGAACCAAACTCCGTTCTTTGCAAAACCAGCAAGCACTTTCGATGGTGGAGCACCTCTCCAGTCCCTTGTATTTGTCAATGAACTGATTGAATGGGAAACAGGAAGACGTGACCTAAATGATAAGAAATGCAGTTCCCTCGAATTATCAGTTCCCCTCTGGAGTATGGTAATTATTTCTCAAGCCTTGGTTGCATCGATTTTGCTAGAGATTTGTAAAAATAGAGACCCTACCCTCTTGACACGATCCTGGGACCCCTTTACTGACTCTGACATGCACTAGTTAAAGAAGCACTGGCCCAGCAGAAGATGACTATAAATAGCTTAGCTGTGACTGTCCCAGGCCAAGTCTACCCAAAGCAGGGATGATCCTCCAAGAATAATTCAAAAGAGAAACAAGGCTCCAGTGAAGGAGATGGTTCAGTGGGGAAGTACATAAGGACCTGAGTTCAAAGCCCACTTCCCCAGGCTGGCAGGTTCAGTCAAAGGCCTTCTCTCAAAGAAATAAGGTCTTAAACAGTAGTTCTTAAGCTTCCTAATGCTGCAACCCTTTAATACAGTTCCTCGTGTTGAGGTGACCCCCCCACCCAAAAAATTACTTTCATTGCTACTTCGTAACTCTAATTCTGCTATTACGAATCATAATGTAAACATTAGATATGGGACCCCTGTGAAAGGGTCATTCGATCCCAAGGTTGAGAACCGCTCGCTGGTCCAGAGTGATGGCCAAGACACCGATGTCCTTCTCTGGCCTCTGTACAATCATGTGCACATACACCACATACACATAAAAAATAATTTTTGAAAAACGATTCTTGGTGCCCGTCTTTAATCCCAGTACTGAGCCAGAGACGCATCTGTGTGAGTTCGAGGCCAGCCTGGTCTACATAAATGAGCGTAAAGAAAGAACTCCCTTAGCCGGAAGGCCACTGACAGTGGTTAGAAGGGCTAGTTCCAATCAAATCTGTCAAACTACTGTCACCTTGACTCACTTCTCTACCCTCAGAGCCTCCGGCTGCCGGTACTACAAAATTAATGTTACACATTATTTCTCCTCCTCATGCATAAAGTCATGGAGAAAATCAGTTATGTCGAAGCAACGCAAAGTTGCATATAATGCAACTTGCTTCCGGACCGAGAGCCTTGACTCCTGCACCTACATGGAGCGCAGACTCTCTGGGGGTTACCCTGGACTGACTTTGTCCTTTTTCCAGGTTTTCTACACAGGATGTTGGTGGGGACATGAGCCCGGCGGCCCAGCCGTCCAGAGTGAGCCTTGGCGGGTTAAAAGAACAAAAATCCGAGCTCCCGGGATGCACGTGCCGCCCCCGGAGTTCCTTTCTAGGCAGGCAGCCCCTTGTACCTGGGCCGAAGTGCTGAAGCTGCGGCGGAGAGCGGCACCGGCAGGACGGGCGAGAGCGGACAGCATGGCTGGGGCGGGCGGGGCACGGACCTAGCGCAAGAGCTAAGAGGAGACAAGTGACTCCAACGACCTCCACTCTGCGCAGTGCCGGCCCGGTCCAGAGCCACCTGATCTCGCGAGAGAAGCCCAAGACGTCTGACTCCGCGACACCAAATCTCGCGAGACAGGCTCGGCTGTACTGTTCTTAGTCTGGCACGACCAAGACCGGGCCCTCTTTCGAGATCTCGTGAGAGAAGCCTGACGTCACGCCTCCCTGTAGTTCATATGAAATCATCTCTGAGCTCCGCCCACTTCAGAGATCTCGCGAGAGAGGCTCGGTTTCGCTTTGTCAGGTCGTTCCTTCCCCGCCCGTTACGCTTTGCCCACTTCCGGGATCTACGGATAGGACGGTCACAGGGAGTAGGCGGGATCTTGGCATCGCCCCTAGCAACCTGGTGCTGGGAGGACTTGTGGAGCGCTCGCCTTGAGGACAGGCTCTAGGTTAGAAATGCCTTACGGGAACCGTTCGTTTTCCCTGGTGGGGCTCCAGACAGACGTCCTGCCGGGGAGCCCGACCGAAGTCGCGCAGCAGGTCAGGCGGCCCCGGAGCTCCTGACCTCAGCCAGGTCCAGTTTTCCTGCCCCCGGGGAGAGGCTGGCTGGGGTCCCGGGGCGGGGTGGGCAGCAACTCCCCACTTCTGTTTCCATCAGAGCCGCACTTCCTGCAAGTTACACGGAGCCTTGTTGAGTTTCCGGCTTTGCACACACCCCTGCTTGTAGTAGCGAGTATTCGCGTTGACTTGGCAACAGAAGATGACGTGCAGGACCAAGGTCCTGTGGTACGGAGGAAGAAACGTTTGGAGACCGTGACTCAGGCTCTGGGTTTGTCTCTACCCCTCAAAGTCTCCAGCAGTGCAGGGACTACACTCCAGCAGCAGTTCTACAACTCCTCCTCTTGCTTTTCCTGCCTTTCCTCCTCCTTTTCCTTCTTTTCTTACTAAAATCCGCTCAACACACAGATTTTTAAAAACTACTCTAAAGTTCAGGATCAGGGCCGGAGGGATGACTCGGTGGTTAAGAGCACTTGCTGCTCTTGCAGAGTTTAGATCCTAGGACTCTGGCAGGTGGCCCATCACCCCCTGTAACTCTAGCTCCACGGATAGCCATTGCCTCTGGCCTCTGCAGGCACCCGAGTGCACATACCCACGGAGACACAAAGAAATAAACATAGTTTAAAATGATAAAAATGTAAAACTAAGGACCCATACACATACACGTGTGCACACATATGCACCTACATACATTCAAACACATGCTAACGCACATACAAATATTCAGGAGGCTGCAACAGGAGGATTGATGTGAGTTTGAGGCCAACATGAAACTCTGTTAAAAAAAAAAAAAACAACCCAAAATAACAGTCACACAAACAAAAAAAGTTGAGGATCTGGGGTTAGAGGAGGAACTGGAAGGGGTGGGGCACAGGTTGGGTTTGATCAAAACACTTGACGTGAATGTGAAATTCTCCAGGAATAAAATGTTAAGTGCAGTGTCCTAGCTCTGAGCAGGCCTATAATTCCAGGTACTCAGAGGCTGAAGCAGGATGGTAGCAAGTTCAGTGACTCAGTTTGGCTGGGAACAGTGGCAGAGAAAGCAAGGCTGGTGGTAACAAGCAACAGGAGAGCTAAAAGAACAGCAACACATGAGAGTTCACAATGGCTGGCTGACTCTCTTCCCTGGCCTCTACCTTTTTGCTGGATTGATAAAGTGTACTACCAGCCCAGTCTGGAATTGGATATGCCTCCCCTGGTTCCTTCCTGCCTTTGGGGAGCGGAATCTAGTGGGTATCTGAGCAACATTTGGAGAAGTGATATGTGGACCTGGGAAAATGGGTTTGGAATGGCAGTCATGTTAAAGAACCTTCCAGAAGATGAGCTACCTAAACTGAGGCCTGCCAGGAGAATGGGAGGGTCTCAATGGGACCCCTGGAGGAGGGAAGTATCTCTTGTGTGGAAGCTTACCTAGAATTAGTGAGCTGGTGATATGGTTAAGTGGGCAAAGAAGCTTGCTGCCAAGCCTGATAACCTGAGTTCAATCTCCAGGACCCATGTAGTGGAAGGAAAAAGACCAGCACGCTGTTGATTCTTCAGTAGTGGGAAGTATGTAGGCAAGGGAAAGGAGACAGGGAAATGTAGACTTGAATTCAGGGAGACTCTTTCTATTGGGGTGGGGATATTTGGATAAGCACTGCCCTTGATCTTATCTCCAGAATATATGCTCTGATAATTGTTTATTAACTTTATGACATCATCTAGGGGTCAGGAGGTATGTATTTATTAATAATTAATTAATTAACTAATTAATTTTGGTTTTCCAAGACAGAGTTTCTCTGTAGCCCTGGCTCTCCTGGAACTCTGTTATTGGACTTATGAACTTATGTTATTGGACTTATGAACTTGAGATCCGCCTGCCTCTACCACCCAAGTGCTGGGATTAAAGGCTGCACCACCACCACCACCATGCTGTTATCACTATCTTTAAGGCAGGGTTTAATGCACCCCTCGATGTTCTCAGACTTTCTGTGTAACCAGGGGTGGCCTTGAACTTCTGACCTTCCTGCCTGTTAACTCCAGAGTGTTGGGATTGCAGGCTTGCATCAATATACCCAGTTTATGCAGTGTTGGTGATGCAATCTAGGCCCTTGCGAATGATAGGCAAACACTGCACCCACTGAGCTCATCTTGTTCTGTTCGTCCAACTTGAGACCATTCTGAGAGTGGGCCCCAGTGAATTCTGGTAGAGTTGACTGACTTTAGAGGAGGTTGGAAACATCAGGTGTTCTGGACCCCTGAAAACTAGCTGAGTTGGCTCTTATTCTTTGGGAGGGGTGTCTAGCAAAGTTTTTGAGATCATCACAAGCTTGTTAGGAGGAAACAGAACTTGATTTAACAGGATCCCAGGGCCTGAGGATATGGGGAATGGAGTGGTGGGAGATTTGGGGGGGGAGACTGCACAATGAGATGGTTGGAATGTGAAGGAAGGGGAGCCAGAGGAGGACAGAGGTGGGACCAGTACAGGCTGGTTCAAGGGCAGAGAGGGTAAAAAAGAGTTGGTGGTTAATGAAATCTGAGGTATGAATGACAGGGAAGTGGAGTGGCCTGGAGATGGACATTATTTGGTAGAGTACTTGCCTAACAAGCATGAGGTCCAGGGTTGGCTTCTTACACCTTATAAAGTGGCATGTGCATGGTGGTGCCAGCCTTCATTCCCTGTACTTAAAAGGTATAGGATGAAGGATAGGAGGGTCAGGAATTTAAGATCATCCTATAGAGAGTTTGAGGTCAGCCCGGGCTACATGAGACCCTGTCTCAAAAACAAAAGGGGGGATTTGGGTTGCTCAAAAGCTGGCTTAGTGGTGAGGAGTTTGTACTGCTCTTGCAGAGGACCTGGGCTGTTCTCAGCACCTACTTGAGACAACTCACAGCTGCCTAATAGCTCTAGCTCTAGGGACCCAACATCCTTTCCTAACCTCTGTCAGCCCCTGCATTCACATTGCACATAGCCATACACACACATGCACATAAATAAAAACAAAACTAAATTGTTTCTTTGTTGTTGTTGTTGTTTGTTTTGCTTTTCAAGACAGGGTTTCTCTATGTAGCCCTGGCTGTCCTGGAACTCAGAAACCCGCCTGCTTCTGCCTCCCAAGTGCTGGGATTACTGCCCGGCCTAAATTGCTTCCTAATGAGTCAGGCATGCTGGTACATACCTTTGATCCCAGCACTGGGGAACCAGAGGCAGGTGGATCTTTTTAAGTTCCTGGCCAACCAGAGATGCATAGCGAGAGCCTGTCTCAACAAACAAACCAATGTGGAGAATCAGGCTGGGAAGAGTATATATAGGTCAAAAGGGAAGTTGGGTTATGTGGAAGGAAGACGGACTGGGAAAAGAGCTACATTTGAGGCTGAATTGAGTTTATTGTTGAGTTGTTCTGAAAGGGGGCAGGTGGTGTCATGGGGACATGCTGCAAGAAGAAATGTCAGCGAGACAGACACTAGAGCTGAAGCCATCCCTACAGAGGGGAGAGTTGTGACTAGGAATTGCTCAGTTGGTAGAGTGCTTGCCTGGTACACAGAAGAGCTCTGGATTTCACCCCCAGCACCACTGGCCTAGGATTTCCATTGCTGTGATAAAACACTATGACCAAAGACGTCTTGGGGAGGGAAGAGTTTGTCTCATCTTACAGTGTGTAGTCCATCTTCCAGGTCGTCAGAGCGGGATTCTGGGGAGGAGTTGATGTAGTGGCAGTGGACGAACAGTGCTTATGGCTCGTTCCTCATGACTTGCTCAGCCTGCTTTCTTACAGCACCCAGGACCACCAGCCTAGGGGTGGCACTGCTCACAGTGAGCTTGGACCTCCCATATCAATCAGCCAATCAAGCAATTGCTCTACGGGCTTACCACAGACCAGTCTGGTGGGAGCATGTTCTCAATGGAGGTTCCCTCTTCCAAAATGACACTTGATTGTTTCAAGTTGACAGACACGAAACCAGCCAGCACAGTCACATAAACAGGGCGTGGTAGTGCATGCATGCTTGTAGTCCTGACATTGAGGAGTCAGAGATGGCTTCAGGAGTTCAGGATCATTCTCTGCCTGCACAAGGGAAACTGTGGACATGAGAAACGGCAGTCATCCAGTTTCTACTCCTGCGCCTTACGGGCTCCTCCCCCCCATCACCCGCTCCCCTCCCCCCACTCCTCCCCCTAGCCCATCTGAAATGATTTGACTGTTGAAACACAGTTCTGTATTCGGATTCAGTCAGCCTCCCTCCAGACACCAAGGTTATTGTTGTGGTTTTGTGTCAAGCTATGGCTGTATAGCAGGCTCTGCACTCAGTGCTTCACCGCTAAGCATAACTCAGGTCATCCCAGGGCTCAGGAAGCTGAGGCAGGGCCCTGCTTTTCAAACAAACAACACAAAACGAAACAAAAGACAGTGCATCTGTAAAGTCAACTTGGGTCTTTTCATTTTTTCCATTTTACATGCATTTCACCCGCATCTTTGTGGGGAGATGTCAGACTTTGGAGTTAGAGACACTTGTGAGCTGCCATGTGGGTGCTGGGATTTGAACGAGGGTCCTCTGGATGAACAGTCAGCGCTCTTAACTGCTGAGCCATCTCTCCAGCCCATCAACTTGAATCTTTACACAAAAATTCTTAATTACATTTGTATTTATGTTGTGTGCATATGTGTGTGGCCATCGGCATGTCATGGTACACGTGCAAAGGTCGGAAAAGTCTGGGAATGTGAGAATTGAGAAGTCTGTTTAGAAATTGCCTTTACAAATCAAACTTTGACCCAGCGTATAACCAAGTTTGTAGCAAAACCCTGACTCAAAACAAAAAACGTTCAGCCATGTTGTATCTGAGATCTCCATCAGGCTGAAAGTCTGGAGTCTGAGGTCAAGGCTCGATAGCCTATGGGAGGTGAGGGAGTCTGTGATTCCACTTACATTCACGGGATCACTGAGATCCTGGGTTTTACAATGGTGAATACGAACCTGAACTCGATATTTTTTTTCTGAGGCAAGGTCTCATGCAGCCAGGTTGGTCTTGAACTTGCTTCATAGCTAGGAATTACCTTGAACTTGTGGTTCTCCTGACCCCACCTCCCATGCACAGAGATCACAGGTGTCCACCAACACAGCCCACCTTGGGATGGGGTTACTGTCACATTATGGAGGTAGAGACTGAGGCATAGAGAAGCTAACCATGCCCCTAGGACAATGCAGCCAAGAGCAAGCGGCAGAGCCCAAATTCAGACCTAAGAAAGCCTGACATTTAGCCAAGCGGTGGTGGCATGCCCTTTAATGCCAGCATTTGGAAGGCAGAGGCAGGTGGATCTATGGGAGTTCAAGGCCAGCCTGGTCTATAAAGTAAGTTCCAGGATAGTGAGGGCTGCACAGGGAAACCCTGTCTTGAATAACTAAAATAAGTAAGTAAACAAACAAGTAAAGCCACCAGTAGAGGTGAGAAAGAGGAGACCGTGAAAAGCTGTCACACTCAGTAGACGTGCTTGTATTGCAAGTGTGAGGACAGGAGTTTGGAGATCTTAGAACCCGAGGAAAAGGCCAGGCACAGTGCACAGGCTTGGAAACCCGGGGATAGCAAGATGGAATATGGAGGCAGGCAGCTCCCTGGAGAGTCATTGACCATCTAGCCTGGCCTACTCCATGTCTCCCCAGGCTAGTGAGAGAGCCTGTCTCACAGGTGGAGAGAGTCTAAACAGGATGGCAGGTTGTCCTCTGTTCTCCACATGTGTGAGAAATACATGCTTATATGGGTGGGATGGAGGATGGAGAGAGAGAGGAGGCAGGCGTGGGAGTGTGGCTGTGTGCTCAGGAAGGACCCGCTGCAGC